GTGTGTGTGTGTGTGTGTGTGTGTGTGTGTGTGAGAGAGAGAGAGAGAGAGAGAGAGAGAGAGAGAGAGTGTGAGTGAGTGAGTGAGTGAGAGAGTGAGTGAGTGAGAGAGAGAGTAGACGAGGGTCAGCCGAGAGAGTAAGGAAAATGTAAGACAAAGAACTGTGCTGACAGGGAAACTGAGGACACTGTGCCTCACAGTTACGCACTGGTGAGCGTGATTTCACCAAGTACATTTACAATTAGTATGACAATTTACCAAGAACATTATCTATGTGTAAAATAATATGCATTTTTAGAATCAATATGTCTCTGCCAACAAGAAAACAATATTCCTTCCTTCAAGTGTGAATTCAAATAGTCTTAACTCTGTCTGCAGTTAAAGGGACAATTACTACAGAATGTATGAAGATACTAAAATGGACAAAATGTAAAACAGTAACTTAGCCTACTTACTGGACACCAGCACACTATTCTATCCACTTCTTTGTGCGAAGAGACACAAAATGTTAGTATTAATTTCCCGTGAGAACAGATTGAAGGGGAATACCAAAAGTCCTGCGTCTTTCACTTTCTGTTTATAGGCGGTCTATTGGCAGTCTTCCAAAATATTAATTTTCACCTGAAAAAGGTATACTGAATGTAACGTTCGTTAGCTGTTTTTTCCTAGCAAACCACTAATAATTTTTAGCGATTAATTTAGCCAGCGATTACAAGATGATTGGTGATTTAGTTTTATATAGCGCCATCTGCTGGTCAGTGAATTAAAGTGGAAAATAAACGCTTGCCAGTTTGCTCGGCCTCCCTCTTCCCTTTATATTCCAGTAGCCCCTCACTGCAGAACACAAGATCCAGGGGGCGTGGTTGGATCCACATCTAGTGGGTGGAGATGGGTGGGTTTAGGGATCAGGGGGTGGAGACGGGTAGGTTTAGGTATATGTAAGGTGGGAGGAGTTGGATCTGGAGGAGCCCCCTGGATCTTGTGTTCTGCGGTGAGGACCGTCTCTTATATTCTGGTTCTGACCACTTGATCACAGATCACGTTCTCTGGTACTTTTCAATTCTCGAAAAAAACAAAAACAAAATACACTGAACTGACTTTAACTGATAAACTGACTGTTTTCTATTGTCCTCTTGCATTAGCAGCACACGTTTTTCCTGTTTAACACTGTAAAGCTGCTTTGACACACTCTGTATTGTATAAAGCGCTATATAAATAAAGGTGACTTGACTTGACTTGGAGCTTTTACAATGAGAATGAAGCATTAAAACATCACGTTTACAGTTTGTTCAAAATATTCATTTCTTTATCTCTGGCTTAAAATAAAAGACAAAAACAGAAAGTTTTTTTTAAATATATTTATTCTCTTGTGAAAATAAATGTTATTTTTAATAGTTTATACTCATTCACTAGAGTCCCTCATGTTTAATGATCTCAGCATTATCCACTATCACACAGGGCTCTGTGTCAGGATCATCATCATCATCATCATCATATTCATCGTCGTAGCATTCTGGACGCAGGCAGCGAAAGCAGAACTCCTCGTCGCAGTGGGGACAAATAATGTTAGGGCAGCCCTCACCATTGTGTGTTAATAGGGCCTGGCATCCCAGACAGGCCCTGAAGTACGGGCATCCATTCACTGAGCTTTGCGGGTCACTGATCTGTTTGACGCTGAGGAGGGCAGCACGGAGTGCACAGTTCGGCAGCATGCAGGAGTTGGTGGTCGAAGCGTTGCATGGCCACTCCCTCTGACACGCCCAGCAGAACTGAAACACGCACCTCTTTGCTTTAGAACAAGTTCTGCAGACTGCTCGCTGTCCATCCAACTTTCTGATATCAGATCGCTGACAGCTAGGACACTGCAAGTCAGACAGACAAGTTAAATCATTGCCAGTAGGTGGCGACAAAATACTTTTGTCACTATAAGTTAGTCATTGAATCATTCACTCAGTCTATCTTATTAACGGTGCTACTGTGTGTTGGAAGGAGATTCAGTGATTAATTTGGTCAGAATTGTTTGGAACTATAAAAAAACACAATATTCTGCAATTGTTCTGTCTAAAATGTTATTATATAAATGTTATTATATAAAAGTTATTTTCTTATTGAACTGTTGTATAAAATGAACTGTATCAGAGCATAACTTGACTAACAACAGGTAGCAGTATATTGCGGTATCCTCTTTTGGAAAAACAGATGTTAAATAGATGCTAAAATCTTCAAAATTAATAGATCTCTTTTCTTTCCTATAGTACGCTGTCATAATGTGGGTAGTTTTTACAAATTCATGAAAATAAAATGAAAATAACAGTTCTACCTTTGGACTGGTCATGTTTTAAAGTCTGCTGTTCCACATCCACAGATCGACGGAGAAACCTGTGAACAATATGAGTTACTGGTCACTTAAAGTAATGTAATAGTAAGCCACTGGTGAACAACATGAGCACAGTTTTCAAATCAGTCAGTAAAAGGCCAATATAATAATACTACTACTACTAATAATAATAATTAAAGCAAACAAATACCTTCTTCACTGGTAGATCATAAACACACCAAACTCAACACTTGTCTGTGCCAGGAAGCTGTGTTCCTGTCTGTAAGCACAACTCGAATGAAGGGGAATACCACAGTTACATGTAACTTTCACTTTGTCTTTACTCACTAATCTTAAGCACAACCCTATATGACCTTTCTTTCTCACTGATTATATGACAGGGTGGGATCACTTTAACTGACACCAACAGTTAGTGCAAGATTTATTGTCCCTTCAGCTTAGAGCTGTCATATATAGGGCAGAATGGTATTCAGAGGTCTTATTTATGTGACAAGATAAAAAAAAATACAGCAGTGATTTATTTTACAAAACAAAAAAATGCATAGCATATTGTATTTATTCTTGCATTATACTTTAATATTTCATTGCACTTTTCCCAAGATAATGATTATTTCTAGTCTCCCACATTTTATCTTTGTATCAAAAACAATTTGCGACAATCAAGTTTTTCTTTTCTTTTGGGTGTTTTAAAGAATTGATTTCTGTATTTAACTACACAGCTAGGCCTACTGTTATTTAATACATTGTAACTGTTTAAAATATCTCAGAACTAAAAATGCGCACAAGCCCAGGCTGAGAATGTCGATATCGCCATCTTGTGTTTGTAAACAGAAACATAAACGAACGATTCGAGCAAGCTGTACCGGCATGTTCTAAATATTAAACTGTCATCTACTCCTGTGCTGCACAGCTTACATAACTCTGGGCTGTTCCTGTATACACTTGTTAATGTTTACAAATGATCAGGAAATGACAGCGTTTGTTTGTGATTTAATATCTATGAGTAAGGCTACAGTCTGGGATGCTACATGGCTTTTTATCTGTCCCGTACAGTAATATATTGTTCAAACAGGATGTCATTAGTAAGTGATAAATTTTGACGTGAATGGCAGGTCGGACCACATGACAGACATATCCCAAAAATCACACGTAGGATCAACATAATCATAGAGGTGTGGAGAGTACATAACGCCCTCTCACCCGTTAATACGAACAATGTTTGTTTCGAAGAGGAGTTACACTTTGGCGAATCTGATGTTCTATTCTGTAGGCTACTGCTGACCAATGACAGACAGGCCTCGGCGATGGGAGGAGCATGCATATAATTACGCCTGTGAATGTGTGTGGAGTTTTTTTCCCAACTCTGGAGCATGCCCAGAAGAAACTCATTTTATTATAAGTGTGACAGAAACGCGTAGTTGCAAAGAAGTAAGATGGGAGACACTGCAGAGTGGAGCTGGTATTCATTGGTGTTGTGTAGCATCGGTTCCATTACGGTTGTGGATTACCTGCTGAGATGGTCATGGCAGTTGTTGGCATGGATTCAAAGTGTACGTGCTCTCTGAGATCTGGCAAACGGACCTGAGGACATATGGCCAATGGGCTGGTAAGGTTTTCTTCAAAGAGTGGGTTCCTTTCTGATTATTATGTAATTATAACACGATCTGCTGTTTAGTGCAGATGCATTAGGAGCAGAAATAAACCGATCACGTTTAATAATACTAGTGCCAGTTAATCATTTGCTTCTTCTTTCACTATGAATGGTATGGCAAACTGTTGTAGCATATATTCCCTTTAACTAACCATCTAAATTTATTATTATGCTATTAATGCGTTTAATTAAATTATTTGTGATAACAGTGACAAGTTAATATACCAATGTTACTGGTAATAAATTAAAAAGTGAGTTATATCTACAATATGTTAACTATTTACTTCCAACTAGTGTGCATTCCAGTTGCCGCTGGTAGGCTAGTCATTTTACTAGCAACTAATCATCAGGCACTAGTACTTATTTCTCAATTTATTAGATACAACTATCCATTTATGCAAATCTTTTCTAATTGTTACTAATAACATTTTGATGTCTTACTATTTTTTAAGAATAACTACTAGTGACCAGTTGAACAGATGCTAGTCACTACTGTAATAAGTATTAATATCTAATGAATAGTTAATTATAAGAGTGAAAAAGATACTAGTCATTATAACATTGTAGTAGTAATTTTAAAATAATTATTAGTATCTTAAAAACACAACTTTTAAAAAAATATACGTTAAAACAGCTTGCCATAAAATTCTGATCAAGATGATTTCATAAATAAGTTTTTCTGAACTAAATTGTACATTTCTTTGAACATCAGAACTGCCACTTCGGTGTTCTTATATAATAAACAATTGTAGTAAAATATTGTTTTATATGAGCTGTCTAATGGCGCTTTTCCACTGCATGGTACGGCTCGGTATGGTTCACTTTTTGGGGGGTTTTCCACTGGGTACAGTACCTGGTACCTGGTACTTTTTTTAGTACCACCTCGGTTGGGGTTCCAAGCGAACCGTACCGTTACCAAAACGTGACGTGTAAACCCTGCTGATGACGGATTGGCCGGAGAGAATCGTCACTACCTGTGTCTCTGAACTTGCGACACAAACACAAAAGAAGCGCTAGATTTAAATCAGCACAGCCAGCGAAGGATCGAACGCAACTGTTTTGAACGAGCGCACCTTTTTTTTTAACAACCAAAAAGTTTTGTTGTCTGTTGCGGAAGAACAGACGTTCCTCTCGTTGATAGCAGAGGAGCGGATCCAGCGAGAGCTTGATGGGGCGACGCGGAATGAAAACGTTTTTTCAGGAGTCGTGGTAGTAGACGCGGCGCAACTATAACAACATGTGAATAATCCCGCCCACTCTAAAGCGGTACTGAACTGCAGTGGAAACGCAAACCATGCCGAGCCGAACCGTGCCGTGCCGAGCCGAGTCGTACCACGCAGTGGAAAAGCGCCATTAGATGATAGTGATTGATATCCAAGGTTGTTTTCGTAAACGAAAACTAAGACTAAAACGATTGATGAAAAAACAATCTGAAATAAACTGAAATAAAATAACTGAACTGAAATAAAATAAAATAAAAACGTCAAAATATTTGAAAAACTAAAACGAAACTAAACTAACAACAGTTATTGAAAAACTAACTGAAATAAAATAATAATTATCAGAAATTAATACTTTTATTCAACAATGATTAAGACGTTTAATGTCTTTGGTTACAAAATGTTTATAAATGCTCTTCTTTTAATGTTCTATTCATCAAAGAATTCTGGAAAAAAAATTTTAGTTTCCACAAAAATATTAACTGTTTTCAAGGTGAATAGTAATAAGAAATGTTTCTTGGCACCAAATAAGAAAGAAAGAAAGAAAGAAAGAAAGAAAGAATATTTTAAATATTTTAATAGGCCTATTGATTTTGAAGGTTATGTCTATTAATTTATTCGGATTATATAGTAGTAACAATTGTTAAAGACACAATAGGCACACTTACTCATAAATGATAGACACGGGTGTTTCAAATAGACTACACCTACAGGCAGGGCCGTTTCTAGCCAATTTGACGCCCTAGGCGAAATCCCTATTGTAAATTTACTGTTAAGATAAACATTTTGCACAATTTAGTATCTGTAATATCATTGTGTTGCCACTAGATGCCTGTATAGCCCTATGTAACAATCCCTAGTGGCTAAGACATTACACATAATTTACACATAAATCACACATAAATTAATTTTATTACATTTTGATTTGGATACTATATACTATACTACTACATATTGTTTAGATATTATCAGTGGCTACTTTTTTGTCTTTATCTGTTTTTTGTTCAATTTTTTTGTTGCTGTTTCTTGAAACATTGAACCCGCGACCCGAACCGCACTCGCATTAAATCTATTACATCAGGTAAGCAAGATAATTTATTTTCTCATGTAGCACAAGCAATCAAACCAACATTAGGCAGTCTAAGTTGGTGCTTTGAAGAAAAATACATGCAGCGCAACATGATAATTAACAGAAAAAAAGATGAGAACGCGCATCCTTTCTGAAAACAATACAAAACTAGCCTAGCATCTTGTGATCATTCTGCCAGGCGTTTGAACAAATGTGCGTAAAATAAAACTAATTTAAAAATTCAAAACTATAATAACCTTGTTGATATCTTGCTGACAAAACTATTACCATTTGCGCCAGTTTGTACCGCTCAGCATTGGTTTTCTGCTGGCCCACCTGGTGGACCATGCTTTAACCATAGACTGTATAAAAACAGGCTTTAACCAGCAGAATCCTGCTAATTAGTTGGTGGATCACAGGGAGTCCAGCAGGCCGGCAAGTGATGCAGCAGGGTCTTGCTGGAGCAAGACAGATGTTTGTGGTTACATAGCATGGGGGGCGTCACACCATCATCTAGTGTCCAAAACACAACATGTGCTTGTGACCTGCTTTGCTGTTTTTTCTGCAGGGGTGTTCTTTTGCATTGGTTGTACAGTACTCATTCTGCTCAGGGCATCTGCATAGCCAGAAACTCATCATTGCTGCCTTTTTATTATTTACTTAAAATGTGCAGATTCCAGACATAATCAAAACAGCCTTAAAAATCTGACACAAACAATTATAGTGGTTGAAGTTGGGTGATCTAATGATAACTGACAATAGAACAGGAAGGATGAGATATTTCACTAAACCTTCCTGTCTCTCACAGTTGTAACTGGAGCAACATCAGGGATTGGTCGTGCATATGCTGAAGAGGTCAGTAAATAACTCTCTTTTAAAAAAAAATTAATTATGTGGGAGTTTAATAGCATCCGTTTTGATACAAAAAAAATTCACTGCAGATCTTTGTAGTTTTTTTATCCGAGTAAGTTGCATACTTCCTCTAAGCTACAACATGCAATATCTTACTGATTTTGGTGTCCTAACATGGCTTTAGCCTTCGCTTTAAGTCAAGAAATGTCAAGTTTGCTCTATAATTGTCATTAAAATGCAGCATGTGACAATATAGGCGAATTGCCATAATCAACTAGTCTGAAGGATCCAGACGCACTAGTAATTTCCATTTTCCAAAATCTGCATGGATGTGGTATGTTATCAGATTAAAATCCGGGCCTCTCTTGGCCGCCACAGTGTGTTGTTCTTGTCCTCAGTGAAGGAGTAAGTATGTCTGTTTACAATGTGTTTGCGCTCCTGCACATCTAACAGAGAATAAGAGGGACTC